TCCTGGTCACCTGGTCACCTCCTGGTCACCTCCTGGTCACCTCCTGGTCACCTGGGTCACCTCCTGGTCATCTGGTCACCTCCTGGTCACCTCCTGATCTTCCGTGTCCCCTCCCAACCACCCGACCCCCTTTTCCCCCCTCCCCCCCAAAAAAAATTCCCCTTCCCATCCTTGACCTCTCCCAGATTGGATTTTTTTTGGGGACAGATTTGATCCAAACCCCCCAAAATTTCTTTGGGATGATCCCAAATCCCCCCCAAATTTTTTTTGGGGACGATCCCCAAAGTCCTTTCCCTCTTTCTGTGTCCCCAAATTGTCCCAGGATGGAATTTGGTGTCGATTTTTGGGGACAAATTTGATCCCAAACCCCCCAAATTTTTGGGGGGTGATCCCAAATCCCCCCCAAATTTTTTGGGGGGATGATCCAAATTTTCCCTCTGTCTTTCTGTGTCCCCAAATTGTCCCAGGATGGATTTTGGTGTCGATTTTTGGGACAAATTCGATCCCAACCCCCTCCGAATTTTTTTGGGGGACGATCCCCAAACTTCTCTTTCTCTCTCTTTGTGTCCCCAAATTGTCCCAGGATGGATTTTTTGGGGACAAATTTGATCCCAAACCCCCCAAAATTTCTTTGGGATGATCCCAAATCCCCCCCAAATTTTTTTTGGGGACGATCCCCAAAGTCCTTTCCCTCTTTCTGTGTCCCCAAATTGTCCCAGGATGGATTTTGGTGTCGATTTTTGGGACAAATTCGATCCCAACCCCCTCCGAATTTTTTTGGGGGACGATCCCCAAACTTCTCTTTCTCTCTCTTTGTGTCCCCAAATTGTCCCAGATTGGATTTTTTGGGGGACAAATTTGATCCCAAACCCCCCAAAATTTCTTTGGGATGGTCCCAAATCCCCCCCAAATTTTTTTGGGGACGATCCCCAAAGTCCTTTCCCTCTTTCTGTGTCCCCAAATTGTCCCAGGATGGAATTTGGTGTCGATTTTTGGGGACAAATTTGATCCCAAATCCCCCCCAAAATTTCTTTGGGATGATCCCAAATCCCCCCCAAATTTTTGGGGGGGATGATCCAAATTTTCCCTTTGTCTTTCTGTGTCCCCAAATTGTCCCAGGATGGATTTTGGTGTCGATTTTTGGGGACAAATTTGAGCCCAAACCCCCCAAATTTTTGGGGGGTGATCCCAAACCCCCCCCAAATTTTTTGGGGGGATGATCCAAATTTTCCCTTTGTCTTTCTGTGTCCCCAAATTGTCCCAGGATGGAATTCGGTGTCGATTTTTGGGACAAATTTGATCCCAACCCCCTCCGAATTTTTTTGGGGACAATCCCCAAACTTCTCTTTCTCTCTCTTTGTGTCCCCAAATTGTCCCAGGATGGATTTTTTGGGGATAAATTTGATCCCAAACCCCCCAAATTTTGGGGGGGGATGGTCCCAAACCCCCTGAATTTTTTTTGGACGATCCCCAAACTTCTCTTTCTCTCTTTTCATGTCCCCAAATTGTCCCAGGATGGAATTTGGTGTCGATTTTTGGGACAAATTTGATGCCAAACCCCCCGAATTTTTTTTTGGACGATCCTTAAAAAGTCCTTTCTCTTTCTTTTTGTCCCCCAAAGTGACGTACCCCGAGGTCCTGCAGTGCGTCAACGTCACCCTCTTCTCGCCCGCCGAGTGCCAGGACTTCTACCCCGGCTCCATCACCCCCAACATGATCTGCGCCGGCAACGTCGCCGGCGGACAGGACTCCTGCCAGGTACCCACAGCTGGGGGGGGGTTGGGGGGGTTTTTTGGGGGGTTTTTGGGGTGGGAGGTCACCCACCCCAACCAGGGTTTGGTTGACCCCAAGAGGGTCCTCCAAGAGGTCACCCAACCCAACCAGGGCTTGGTCAACCCAACCAGGGCTTGGTTGACCCAAAGAGGTCACCAAGATCAAGAAGGTCCACCAAGGGGTCACCCAACCCAACCAGGGCTTGGTTGACCCCAAGAGGGTCCACCAAGGGGTCACCCAACCCAAGTAGGACCACCAAGAGGTCACCCAACCCAACCAGGGCTTGGTTGACCCAAAGAGGTCACCAAGGCCAAGAAGGTCCACCAAGAGGTCGCCCAACCCAACCAGGGCTTGGTTGACCCAAGGAGGGTCCTCCAAGGGCTTGGCCGACCCAAAGAGGTCACCAAGGCCAAGAAGGTCCACCAAGAGGTCACCCAACCCAACCAGGGCTTGGTTGACCCAAAGGGTTTGGCCAACCCAACCAGGGCTTGGTTGACCCCAAGTAGGACCTCCAAGGGGTCACCCAATCCAACCATGGATTGGTTGACCCCAAGAGGGTCCACCAAGAGGTCACCCAACCCAACCAGGGCTTGGTTGATCCAATGAGGTCACCAAGGCCAAGAAGGTCCACCAAGAGGTCACCCAACCCAACTAGGGCTTGGTTGAC